TCCTATCACCCACATGTCAGCTTAACAACCATCTCTAACTCCAGTTCAGGGGATCCGATGCCCTCTTCTGGCTTCCAAGGGCACTGCATGCATATGGTGCATAGACATACATGCAGGCGAAACACCCATGCACATATACAAGTATTTCATTTGGTACAAAGTACCCTTTACCTATGAGGTAAGATAGAGGACAATAAATTAATATTGCTGCTTTTTTGTTTTTATTTATAATTATTTTCAAAAGACTATGGTAAAGTGCAGCCAGGCATGGTAGCACACACCTAGAATCCCAGCACTTGGGAGGTGGAGGCAGGAGGACCAGAAGTTCAAGGCCAACCTCGGCTATATGAGACCTTGTCTCAAAAGCAAAATTAAAAACACAAAAACTGCTCAGCAATGACTTCCTAAGCTACAGTTGACACTAGCAGTTGATTCTAATGACTACTGACGGGGGTGGCTTTACCTTAAAAGTCAGATGTCAGCAAAGCTCCCCACTGTCATTTCCAGGAACCGCCCCCGTGGTTTCCTTCAGCATCCATCAGTGAACCTGCCCCTCTACCCCTTTTATCATTTTAGGTAGCACATTTATGAATCCTAATGTGTGAGAACAACCCTACAATCAAAGGGGCAGAGTAGGATCCCAGGCAACTTGATCAAACATCCCCTACCCCCCCCCCTTTGAAACTAATTGGCCCAGAAGAGGTGAAATGTTATGAAGCTGTATTGAGCATGGCCTAAATAATAGGTGTATATGACCTGTGAAGTCTGTTCCATCTAAACTATTACTCATGCTTTGAAAGCTCCTGAGTAAACATTCATGTAAAAAGGAGTTCACTGGGAAGATTCCCTCTTTAATATAGATAGAAATATTCTTTATCAGAGATTTAGGATACCATTTTGCTAACTGGTAAATAAAAACCGATGTAAATATGTAAGAATGTTTATTTGTTGCACATAACTTTTTTGGTATAAAATAAATGTAGACGTTACCTGTGGACATTGTGCTGCCATTGTTCTTACTTCAGTGTGGAGTCTTCAAATGAAGGTGGATGAGATGAAGTCTAGAGTCAGGAAGAACGTGCGTATCCATGGTACTGTAACTCAGTCCCTACAGGTACTAATCTGGAGCCTTTTCTCTTAAATCCCAGGTAACTTAGAGATGATACAGATTCCTTAGGGGTGATGTCCTTGACTTCCTGTGGGTTTGTTTACATATGTGATTTGTCGAGAATCTATGGCAGGGCTGGGTGTTGTAGTAGCTTAGACCTTTTATCACAGCAGAGGCAGACATAATTCTGTGAGTTCAAGGCCAGCCTGGTTTACATAATGAATTTCTAAGACAGCCAGAGTTATTTGGTGAGACCTTGTCTTGAACAACAACAACAACAACAACAAAAGACGGGCTAGAGAGATGGCTCAGTAGTTAAGAGCACATGCTGCTGCTGTTGCAGAAGACCTAGGTTCGGATCCCATCACCCGCATGGTGGCTCACACCCATCTGTAACTCCAGTTCTAGGGGATGTGATGCTCTCGGAACCAGGCAGGCATGCAAATACAGTGATGTACAGACACTGGATGGAGGCAGACATCCATACACCTAAAAAGGGAGGATCTTAAGATGTCTTTCCATAGCTTTCTTTTCCATTCCCACAGCCCTCTAAAGAGTTTGTAACATCTATAAACAGATTAGTCAGTTTGAAATCTAACCATCCTTCACTGACTGAAGCGTGTTTTACATGAAACTTTAGGACTTGGGTTGGGGATATAGTCCTGTTGATAGCTTGCATGGGTGGATGTATAAGGCCCCAGGTTGGTATAAACTGGGACTGATAATGAGAACCTGTAATCCCAGCACTTGAGAAGTGGAGGCAGGAGGCCCAAAGCACTCAATGTCGGACCAGTGACAGACTCAGTGAGTTAGGGCATTTGCCGTATCCTGGCAGCCTGAGATTTGTCCTCAGGATCCACACAGTTGAAGAAGAGCACCCATTACCTACCACAAGTTGTCCTCTGACATCCACATGTGGACTGTGTTAATTTTAAAAGTTTAAGGTCCTTCTCTGCTAAATACTAACTTAAAAGACTAGCCTAGCCAGGTGTGGTGGTGCACTCCTTTAATCCCTGCAGAGGCATACAGATCTCTTGAGTTTGAGGCCAGCCTGGTCTATGTATCCTATTCCAGAACAGCTAGGATTACAGAGAGAGACCTTGTCTCAAAACAACAAGAAAGGGGCTGGAGAGATGGCTCAGAGGTTAAGAGCACTGACTGCTCTTCCAGAGGTCCTGAGTTCAATTCCCAGCAATCACATGGTGGCTCACAACCATCTGTAATGAGATCTGGTGCCCTCTTCTGGCCTGCAGTCATACATGCTGTATGCATAATAAATAAATAAATCTTTAAAAAAATTATTCATCTTATTAAAAAAAAAAAACAAGAAAGAGAGACTAGCCTGGAATACATGAGATCCTGTTTCAAAAAACAAAACAAAAAGACCATTTTTGGACTTATGAATCATACCTCATATCTCTAATTTGTAAAACATTTGCATATCTTCCATTTAGCATATTGTCAACTAAGAAACTTTATTTAAACTAGGGGCTGACTGGAGAGATGGCTCATTGGTTAATAACATTAGCTATTCTTCCAAAGGACTGGGGTTTAATTCCCAGCATCCACATGGTGGCTCACAACTACCTATAACTCCAGTTCCAGGGGATCTGATGTATTCTGGCTTCCACCAGCACCAGGCCAGGCATGCACATGGTACCCAAACACTCATACACAAAGTAAATTATTAAAATATTAATAAAATGTATAATAAGCTGAGACACAAAACTAGATTATTTTGAAATTTTTAAGAGGTCCATGGTGACATGAAGTACAGCTCTCTTAAAATCCCTTCCCACTTGAACGAATAACAGTGTTTTATTTTTTTTTAATTTTAATTTTTTAAATTAATTTATTTTTCTATTATCAGCTTGATACAGTATAAATTCTTATCCTAAGAGTGAAATGTTTGATTGAGACTTGCCCAGTAGTTGAGTAAAACCAAAACTTACTATAAGCCACAGTCATCCTAGGGTCCCCTAAGAGTCTG